TGTGAGTGTTACAGGCTCTCTCATGGTGGAGCACCATCTGTGAGTGTTACAGGCTCTCTCATGGTGGAGCACCATCTGTGTGTGTTACAGGCTCTCTCATGGTAGAGCACCATCTGTGTGTGTTACAGGCTCTCTCATGGTAGAGCACCATCTGTGAGTGTTACAGACTCTCTCATGGTAGAGCACCATCTGTGAGTGTTACAGACTCTCTCATGGTAGAGCACCATCTGTGAGTGTTACAGACTCTCTCATGGTGGAGCACCATCTGTGAGTGTTACAGGCTCTCTCATGGTGGAGCACCATCTGTGAGTGTTACAGGCTCTCTCATGGTAGAGCACCATCTGTGTGTGTTACAGGCTCTCTCATGGTAGAGCACCATCTGTGTGTGTTACAGGCTCTCTCATGGTAGAGCACCATCTGTGTGTGTTACAGGCTCTCTCATGGTAGAGCACCATCTGTGAGTGTTACAGGCTCTCTCATGGTAGAGCACCATCTGTGAGTGTTACAGACTCTCTCATGGTGGAGCACCATCTGTGAGTGTTACAGGCTCTCTCATGGTGGAGCACCATCTGTGAGTGTTACAGGCTCTCTCATGGTGGAGCACCATCTGTGTGTGTTACAGGCTCTCTCATGGTGGAGCACCATCTGTGTGTGTTACAGACTCTCTCTCATGGTGGAGCACCATCTGTGAGTGTTACAGGCTCTCTCATGGTGGAGCACCATCTGTGTGTGTTACAGACTCTCTCATGGTGGAGCACCATCTGTGTGTGTTACAGACTCTCTCATGGTGGAGCACCATCTGTGAGTGTTACAGGTTCTCTCATGGTAGAGCACCATCTGTGAGTGTTACAGGCTCTCTCATGGTAGAGCACCATCTGTGAGTGTTACAGGCTCTCTCATGGTAGAGCACCATCTGTGAGTGTTACAGGCTCTCTCATGGTAGAGCACCATCTGTGAGTGTTACAGACTCTCTCATGGTAGAGCACCATCTGTGAGTGTTACAGGCTCTCTCATGGTGGAGCACCATCTGTGAGTGTTACAGGCTCTCTCATGGTAGAGCACCATCTGTGTGTGTTACAGGCTCTCTCATGGTAGAGCACCATCTGTGAGTGTTACAGACTCTCTCATGGTAGAGCACCATCTGTGAGTGTTACAGACTCTCTCATGGTAGAGCACCATCTGTGAGTGTTACAGGCTCTCTCATGGTGGAGCACCATCTGTGAGTGTTACAGACTCTCTCATGGTAGAGCACCATCTGTGAGTGTTACTGGCTCTCTCATGGTAGAGCACCATCTGTGAGTGTTACAGGCTCTCTCATGGTAGAGCACCATCTGTGAGTGTTACAGGCTCTCTCATGGTGGAGCACCATCTGTGAGTGTTACAGGCTCTCATGGTGGAGCATCATCTGTGAGTGTTACAGGCTCTCTCATGGTGGAGCACCATCTGTGAGTGTTACAGGCTCTCATGGTGGAGCACCATCTGTGAGTGTTACAGGCTCTCTCATGGTAGAGCACCATCTGTGAGTGTTACAGGCTCTCTCATGGTAGAGCACCATCTGTGAGTGTTACAGGCTCTCTCATGGTAGAGCACCATCTGTGAGTGTTACAGGCTCTCTCATGGTGGAGCACCATCTGTGAGTGTTACAGGCTCTCTCATGGTAGAGCACCATCTGTGAGTGTTACAGGCTCTCTCATGGTAGAGCACCATCTGTGAGTGTTACAGACTCTCTCATGGTAGAGCACCATCTGTGAGTGTTACAGGCTCTCTCATGGTGGAGCACCATCTGTGAGTGTTACAGACTCTCTCATGGTAGAGCACCATCTGTGAGTGTTACTGGCTCTCTCATGGTAGAGCACCATCTGTGAGTGTTACTGGCTCTCTCATGGTAGAGCACCATCTGTGAGTGTTACAGGCTCTCTCATGGTAGAGCACCATCTGTGAGTGTTACTGGCTCTCTCATGGTAGAGCACCATCTGTGAGTGTTACTGGCTCTCTCATGGTAGAGCACCATCTGTGAGTGTTACACTCTCTCATGGTAGAGCACCATCTGTGAGTGTTACAGACTCTCTCATGGTAGAGCACCATCTGTGAGTGTTACAGGCTCTCTCATGGTAGAGCACCATCTGTGAGTGTTACTGGCTCTCTCATGGTAGAGCACCATCTGTGAGTGTTACTGGCTCTCTCATGGTAGAGCACCATCTGTGAGTGTTACAGGCTCTCTCATGGTAGAGCACCATCTGTGAGTGTTACAGGCTCTCTCATGGTGGAGCACCATCTGTGAGTGTTACAGGCTCTCTCCTGGTGGAGCACCATCTGTGAGTGTTACAGGCTCTCTCATGGTGGAGCACCATCTGTGAGTGTTACTGGCTCTCTCATGGTGGAGCACCATCTGTGAGTGTTACAGGCTCTCTCATGGTAGAGCACCATCTGTGAGTGTTACTGGCTCTCTCATGGTAGAGCACCATCTGTGAGTGTTACAGACTCTCTCATGGTAGAGCACCATCTGTGAGTGTTACAGACTCTCTCATGGTAGAGCACCATCTGTGAGTGTTACAGACTCTCTCATGGTAGAGCACCATCTGTGAGTGTTACAGACTCTCTCATGGTAGAGCACCATCTGTGAGTGTTACAGGCTCTCTCATGGTAGAGCACCATCTGTGAGTGTTACTGGCTCTCTCATGGTAGAGCACCATCTGTGAGTGTTACAGGCTCTCTCATGGTGGAGCACCATCTGTGTGTGTTACAGGCTCTCTCATGGTGGAGCACCATCTGTGTGTGTTACAGGCTCTCTCATGGTGGAGCACCATCTGTGTGTGTTACAGACTCTCTCATGGTGGAGCACCATCTGTGAGTGTTACAGGCTCTCTCATGGTAGAGCACCATCTGTGAGTGTTACAGGCTCTCTCATGGTGGAGCACCATCTGTGAGTGTTACTGGCTCTCTCATGGTCTCTCATCTGTAATAAACACTTCTCTAATTGTTCACAAGCCAAACAACTGGCAGTTTTGACTCTCAAATTTGGAGACAAAACTTGTTATTCAACGACACTTTGTAGCGTCTTGAGGCACTGTACCTCACAGTAAAGCTCCTTACCCGACCACTTGGGCTGGACGGTAGAGCGACCGTCTCGCTTCATGCAGGTCGGCGTTCAATCCCCGACCGTCCAAGTGGTTGGGCACCATTCCTTCCACCCGTTCCATCCCAAATCCTTATATCGCATCCAAGTGCTCTATAGTCGTAATGGCTTAATGCTTTCTCCTGATAATTACCTCACCTATCTGTTCTGAGAGAGCGCCCCCCTGCCCCCCACACTTCCGGAGACCAGCAGAAGGGCCCGCCAAGCCTCGCGGGTCACCGAGGACACCTTAAATCATCCATCATAACTGCTGGTCGACCCATAAAAGCCCCCCCGCATCATTCACAGAGGTCCGCCGCTGGAGATGATATCCACTGGACGACGGAGGAGCGGACCCCTAACGACGACCCCTTGCTGATGTGGGGGAGGGGGGAGCATCCCCCTAGATGAGGGGAGGGCCCCCCTTAGACTCGCCAGACAATCGGGCTGACGTTATCCTCTCTATGGGTATCCCAGCAGCGGCGCACCTGTGGCAGGAGACGGGGTCTGGGGCAGCCCTTCCCCCCCCCCCCCACACACACACACCTTCCACTACGATGTTCACCGTTACTCAACCCGTATATACCAGATAATCACCATAAACCTATTATAACTATTGTATACATAATATTTGTAAGGGCGTCTTGGAGGCACTAACACATGCGACTGATAACGGAGCCGAGCTTTATATTAACAATATACATCACGAGGTGAAGAACAAGTCTGGAATGTAACAATGATATTTTAGGCTAGTAATAACACCATTTGTGTCACCCTGTCGCGTTACATTTAAATTTAGCCTTTAAAGAATAGTTTTGGCATTGAATTGAGCGTGAAGTGGCAGTGTATTAGGCGCCATGAGGGAGCAGGAGGCCAAGTGAGACAAGAGAAGGAGCGAGGACCCCGCTGCCTGTAACCTGGTCACACAACACTAACCGTCCTGTAGTCAAGAACTGTAGTCAAGATGCACAAGAACTTGTGACATCACCAGAAGAATTGTTGACGTTCGAGTCAGGTTATCTTAAGATGATTTCGGGGCTTTAGTGTCCCTGCGGCCCGGTCCTCAACCAGGCCTCCACCCCCAGGAAGCAGCCCGTGACAGATGACCAACTCCCACGTACCTATTTACTGCTAGGTAACAGTGGGGGGGGGGGCATCAGGGTGAAAGAAACACTGCCCATCGTTTCTCGTCGGCGCCCGGGATGGAACCCGGGACCACTGGATCACGCGACCAGTGTTCTGTCCACTCAGCCACTAGTCCAGTGAACACCCAGCACAACCAGCGATGACTGAGGGAACTGGAGAATATGACGAGGCACTACACCATTAATATTAGTTCACTCTTAATGATATAAGCGGCTACCACCACAGTTGGTGAATATAGATGTATACAAGCAGAAGTTTACGACGCATAAAGGTGACAATGTGAGGGAGTGACCCAAGACTTTAGACACTGTCGGCGTGCTTGTGTCTGGGAGCAGCAGGCAATATTCTCCACCAACAATGGTACACAAACCCGTCATGTTTCACCCTCTGGACGTGGCACTGAACCTTGTCTGGCACTCTCCTGGCACTGCTTATACAATACTTCATCTGATTGTATTTGACAAAGATGTATTAAAGGTGGCCTTACCCCGCTGTTAGCTATCGTAGCTTCACTACACTAACGCTAATCACCACCATTGTCATACAGCTCATTTCGTACAGAAGACGTTTCGCCACCGGATATTTTGTTGTATATAAAACCTAGGTATCCTAACCCATCCTTACTTAACCTAACCAAACCTGACACTATCCAACCATAAGCTAATGACACTTTTACCAATTAAAATACGAGCTACGTGTGTAGGACTTGACCCGTCCCTTGTAGGTAGTTTGGACTTACCGTAGTCAGTGTCGATGGCCGGGGACGTCCTCTTGTAGACGATGTGGAGGCCCTCGGACTCGGTGTGGCGGCGGCGGCGTCTCAACAGTGCCAGGCCCTCGGGCAGGCTCCCGTTCACTCCGCTAATGTCGTCTCTGTACCACAACACCCACAACAATTACCAACAGTGACAAGAGGCAGTGCCACAACAATGCCAGGTTAACAAATCCACAAGGGCCGTGACGAGGATTCGAACCTGCGTCCGGGAGCATCCCAGAGACTGCCTTAATCTTAATGTAACTTAATGCCAGGTTACATAACGCACAAAGATACGTCAGGTTAATATGATGTTTTCTATTACTACAGCAGCAGCAATAGACACGCCCACCATAGGTGCGTCTGAAATAACATCTTCCCTATATCTTGAGGTTATCTTGAGATGATTTCGGGGCTTTTTAGTGTCCCCGCGGCCCGGTCCTCGACCAGGCCTCCACCCCCAGGAAGCAGCCCGTGACAGCTGACTAACTCCCAGGTACCTATTTTACTGCTAGGTAACAGGGGCATAGGGTGAAAGAAACTTTGCACATTGTTTCTCGCCAGCGCCTGGGATCGAACCCAGGACCACAGGATCACAAGTCTAGCGTGCTGTCCCTCGGCCGACCTCCCTCCCTATAATTATAACCTATGCAGGAGTGATCACAGTAGCAGCCAAGCACAAGGACAATCACTGTTCACCATAAACCACCAATACGTAAGACATCATTATACTTACGGTCGTTCCAGGTCGAGGACTGAGGCAGTGTCGTCGTCGCCAGCGGCTAGAGGAAGGCCGTCGCTGAAGACCATCTGGTCATCGAGGTCCTCAAGGAAGAACTCGTCGTCGGGGGGCAGGTGATTGGGGTTGACCTCGTCCTCGTGCGCCTGCGCGGCCAGCGGGTACAGGTGCGCGGGCACAGGACGCACCACCAGGTCCTCCCCAACGGTGCCGTCCTGACAAGAGAGCGGCGAGGTAAATGTTTAGGAGTACGAGCGGTAGATTAGCACCTCGACCACCTCTTTTGTAGAGTTGAGGAGCTTTGGGCCTACAAGGTCCTCTTTAGTATACACACCGACTCTTCCCTCTCATCTATTTACACATTGACATCAATATATAATATATTCTGGGATCCAAATGTTCCCGTCGTCTCCAGTATGGGTTTGTGTGACGCTCAGAATACTTCATTTGTCTGTGTGTGGAGGCCATTTGTGAATGGTACTTTGTTTGTCTCGTTAGTGTTTAGTGTTTGTTTGTTGTAGAGATAAATGAACTTAATCTATTTACAGTATTATGACTGATGGTGAGGCAGATAGTGCCAGTGTCACTACCCCGCCTGCACGCCAGACGCCTTGAGCACAACACTACACGCTGCTAGACGGTGTACTCTAGGAGGAGGAGCATGGCCAGGACAGTGTGAGGGGGAGCGTGGCCAGGACAGTGTGAGGGGGAGCGTGAGGAGCGTGGCTACAGTGAGCTCATCCATCACAACATAAGGGCCACTGACAACACCCATGCTCCCCCCCCCCTCCTCCTCCTGACCTGGGCTCACACACAAGGAGTAATTTTCAAGAGTGGAGAGCAATTTGTGGAGCGTAATTCTAAGTCTACAATTCTGGGAGATGAGTTAGGGGCTCCTAAGGGCCACTCTCTCTATATACAAGGGTGGGAGAAGGGCTCTACCAGCGAGTGATTGTAAACTTTTCTCTCGACGCAAGCCAGGCGAGGGTAGAACTACGTCCCCGCATGCAACAGTTTAGAAAGGGAAACCAGGTTTACGTCCCAACGGTAAAGTTAACAACATAGTGATGCTGTTAGGGATGCTGGAGAGAGTAACATCGCTGGAGATGATGTAGAGTAATACTGTTAGGGGATGTTGTTGTTGTTGTTGTTGTTAGAGATTCGCTACCTGGAACAAAAAGTCCTAAGCAACATGGGCTATGGTGAGCCCGTAGATAATTATTGTTAGGGGATGCTTTAGGGTAATATGGGCCCGCCTCTACGCCGGTCCTTCTACACCTCCACTACTACTGTTCCACAGTTACCATGTGTGTCTATATCACTATTATTATCTACTGCACGACCTGTATGTTATCCTGGTTGTCTGAACCCGAGTGGCGCGAGTAAGAGAGCGGCGCACCAGGACACATCACGGCTCCTGTGAGTGTGTACGTACCAGGGTGAGGGCTCCTGTGAGTGTGTACGTACCAGAGTGAGGGCTCCTGTGAGTGTGTACGTACCAGAGTGAGGGCTCCTGTGAGTGTGTACGTACCAGAGTGAGGGCTCCTGTGAGTGTGTACGTACCAGAGTGAGGGCTCCTGTGAGTGTGTACGTACCAGAGTGAGGGCTCCTGTGAGTGGGTGGTGAGAGACTATGAGGGCGGCCAGGGAGTCCACGTCGTGATGAGGGACGCCCGCCTCCGCCGCCTCCTCCGCTCCGTCCTGTACAACAACACTAAACATTAATATATTAACACCACACCTTGCTGGGTTGACAGTGGTGGCCACAACACTGTGGACACAATGGTGGCCACAACTGTGGACACAATGGTGGCCACAACACTGTGGACACAATGGTGGCCACGACACTGTGGACACAATGGTGGCCACAACACTGTGGACACAATGGTGGCCACAACACTGTGGACACAATGGTGGCCACAACACTGTGGACACAATGGTGGCCACAACACTGTGGACACAATGGTGGCCACGACACTGTGGACACAATGGTAGCCACAACTGTGGACACAATGGTGGCCACGACACTGTGGACACAATGGTGGCCACAACACTGTGGACACAATGGTGGCCACAACACTGTGGACACAATGGTGGCCACAACACTGTGGACACAATGGTGGCCACAATGGTGGCCACACTGTGGACACAATGGTGGCCACGACACTGTGGACACAATGGTGGCCACGACACTGTGGACACAATGGTGGCCACGACACTGTGGACACAATGGTGGCCACGACACTGTGGACACAATGGTGGCCACGACACTGTGGACACAATGGTGGCCACAACACTGTGGACACAATGGTGGCCACGACACTGTGGACACAATGGTGGCCACAACACTGTGGACACAATGGTGGCCACAACACTGTGGACACAATGGTGGCCACGACACTGTGGACACAATGGTGGCCACAACACTGTGGACACAATGGTGGCCACAACACTGTGGACACAATGGTGGCCACAACACTGTGGACACAATGGTGGCCACAACACTGTGGACACAATGGTGGCCACGACACTGTGGACACAATGGTGGCCACGACACTGTGGACACAATGGTGGCCACAACACTGTGGACACAATGGTGGCCACAACTGTGGACACAATGGTGGCCACAACACTGTGGACACAATGGTGGCCACATCTGTGGACACAATGGTGGCCACAACACTGTGGACACAATGGTGGCTACAACACTGTGGACACAATGGTGGCCACAACACTGTGGACACAATGGTGGCCACGACACTGTGGACACAATGGTGGCCACGACACTGTGGACACAATGGTGGCCACTTGTACAGAGTATCAGAACTCTATAGAACAGACTATCATAGAATTACAATGGTAACTATCATAGAGTTACAAGGGGGCCTGACGGCTGAGTGGACAGCGCTTGGAATTCGTGGTCCTAAGGTTCCGGGTTCGACCCCCAGCAGGGGCAGAAACAAATAAGGCAGAGTTTCTTCCACCCTGATGCCCCTGTTCACCCAGCAGTAAATAGGTACCTGGGAGTTAAACAGCTGCTACGGGCTGCTTCCTGGGGATGTGTAACAAAAAGGAGGCCTGGTCGGGGACCGGGCCGCGGGGACGCTAAGCCCCGAAATCATCTCTAGATAACCTCAAGAGATGGAGAGCAAATCTAATGGTTACAGTTGAGAGGGAGAAAACCTAGCGAATAGAGTAGAGGAGAGGGACAGAGAGGGGTAGAGGAGAGGGACAGAGAGGGGTAGAGGAGAGGGACAGAGAGGACGGGGGACAACTTACATAGTGTGACGGGGTGACAGTAACGCCGCCCTGGTCACCTTGGTCCACAGGGAGGCTAGAGGAGAGACAGAGGACGGGGGACAACTTACATAGTGTGACGGGGTGACAGTAACGCCGCCCTGGTCACCTTGGTCCACAGGGAGGCTAGAGGAGAGGGACAGAGAGGGGTAGAGGAGAGGGACAGAGAGGGGTAGAGGAGAGGGACAGAGAGGGGTAGAGGAGAGGGACAGAGAGGGGTAGAGGAGAGGGACAGAGAGGACGGGGGACAACTTACATAGTGTGACGGGGTGACAGTAACTCCGCCCTGGTCACCTTGGTCCACAGGGAGGAGAGGGACAGAGAGGACGGGGGACAACTTACATAGTGTGACGGGGTGACAGTAACGCCGCCCTGGTCACCTTGGTCCACAGGGAGGCTAGAGGAGAGGGACAGAGAGGACAGGGGACAACTTACATAGTGTGACGGGGTGACAGTAACGCCGCCCTAGTCACCTTGGTCCACAGGGAGGCTAGAGGAGAGGGACAGAGAGGACAGGGGACAACTTACATAGTGTGACGGGGTGACAGTAACGCCGCCCTAGTCACCTTGGTCCACAGGGAGGAGAGGGACAGAGAGGGACAGAGAGGACGGGGGACAACTTACATAGTGTGACGGGGTGACAGTAACTCCGCCCTGGTCATCGTGGTCGGCGTAGAAGAGCGGGACGCTGGCGGCCAGGTGGAGGTTGGGACGCAGCTTCAGCACCCGCCTCGACCCCAGGGCCTGCAGGTACACTGTCCGCACCGCCTCCCCCTCCGCACTCCGCCTCAACCGCGACCGTAACCGCACTACGTCATACGCCGGAGCTGCAAGGAACTCGCGGTTAATATCGCCATCTTGGTCAACACTGGAGTTATGGTGATATGGTGACGGAAGTGTCCTATATACCCACTGTCTTGTACAACACTGCGGTTATGATGAGTATGATGATTGGCTATGATGATTGTGTGGAGGTGAAGTGCGGTTATGATGAGTATGATGATTGGTTATGATGATTATGTTGGGGTCATAATCATCAAAATTATTTTAAAGTAGAATTTTATATATTTACACTCAAGTTCAAACGTTATGTTTACCAAATTTTTACGTATTTACCAAATTTTATCACGTGTTTTTAATAAAAAATAAATATTAATCTTGGTCGAGAACAATGTTCTAGAATTATAGGACTTTTCTATACAATTTACGTATATAAAACACATGTTTAAAAGGATGACCAGACCACACACTAGAAGGTGAAGGGACGACGACGTTTCGTCCGACTTGAGAATGGTCCAGGACGGACCGAAACGTCGTCGTCCCTTCACCTTCTAGTGTTTGGTCTGGTCAACATACTTCAGCCACGTTATTGTGACTCCTCGCCTGCACATGTTTAAGTGTGAACACACTGACACTAGCAGAGAAAGAGCCTACACAAAGCACATAAGGAAGCTAACAGGACTCAAGCTTAGTGCCAGAGGTGGAAGACCTCGCAATTTTGGGTTAGTCAAGAGCCACATTGCGAGCCGGGTCGTATATTGCGACTAGTGTCGTCTGAACATGCAGGACCGGCACTACAGGTTTACCTCAACCGGACCCACGGTATATTTGAGGTCATTTGAGGTCACCTGCCCTCTGAATCACCTTGCCCGTGACCCCGAGTTAAGGGGTTGTCGGTGGTGGGGGATCAGAGCCGTGTGGAGGTGGTCAGTATGGGAGCCATGCAAGGGTAGAGGCACTCCGATCCAGACCCGCTCCTGTGCCAGGTAAGTCCACTACGGGCTCACCTTAGCCCGTGCTACTTGCTCCGCTCCCGTGCCAGGTAAGTCCACTACGGGCTCACCATAGCCCGTGCTACTTGCCCCGCTCCTGTGCCAGGTAAGTCCACTACGGGCTCACCATAGCCCGAGCTACTTGGAACTTGTTCCGAGTAGCTGAATCTATAACAACAACATAGAGGCACTTCAGTTGGCATGTCAGATGCACAGGTGAAGGGGAATGGCTATCCCAGCGCGGCCTATTAGGAAGAAGTTTAGATATCTTTATACAAATAGATACTAGTAGATCGATAAATATATAGAAAGACAGATGAAGAGCTAAGGCCTAAGAACCAGAACTTGTCTTTCATTCATACACAAAGCGCCGGGATTGTAGGGCCGGCTTCCTCAATCTTTCTTCCGGATTACTTCCTCCTCAGCAACAGATGACCAGGTCATCTGTTGCTGAGGAGGAAGACAAGAAGGCTGGTACAGCATGGGTGGCAGTGCGGACACCCAGGCCGCCGAGCCTGACAGGAAGAGAGGGCTTGTCTCCACTGGCAGTCATTAAGAGGTTGACAACTTTTTCCAGCATGGTCCTTAGTAATAAGTCAAACTCTTCAAGCTTTGGGCTGCTGTAAGATGGGGCGCACCTCAGAATAGGTCAGCCTCGGAAGGGATAGGCATTTAGTGAGAAGATAGGCATCGTGGGCATCGATGAAACCTATCCTGTATGTGTATATATATATATATATATATATATATATATATATATATATATATATATATATATATATATATATATATATATATATATATATATATATATATATATAGTGGCCCTGGAGATAGTATTGGCTAACAGGAGAAAGGTTATACAATAATGAGTATTTATTATACATTCCAGGTTTGTTGTGTGAATAAGGAGCGGGGCCGAGGGTGTCTCTCTCTCTCCCTCCATCCATATTGATGGCAGGTGGATGGCTGCCTCACTCACTCATCCACCCTCCAGGCTCCTGGTGGCAGGTGGATGACAGCCTCACTCACTCATCCACCATCCAGTTCCCCACATTAAGGTAAGGAGGGAAGGTGAACATGTTCCCCACATCAGTAAGGTAAGGGGAGGGTGAACATGTCCCCCACATTAAGGTAAGGTAAGGGAGGGTGAACATGTTCCCCACATTAAGGTAAGGTAAGGGAGGGTGAACATGTCCCCCACATTAAGGTAAGGTAAGGGAGGGTGAACATGTTCCCCACATTAAGGTAAGGTAAGGGAGGGTGAACATGTCCCCCACATTAAGGTAAGGTAAGGGAGGGTGAACACAAGAGGTAGGGGAGGCAGGCGGCAGCAGCCAAGTAAAGCTTCTCATCTTATCAGTAAGCTTCAGGAGGGAATTTTAATGACCACTTAAGATGGGGGGGAGGAGGGGGGGGGTAGGTCGCTTCCAAGTGGACACCATTCATGTGGGCCACAGCCACCATGGTGGCCCTGGCGTCATGTGGGCCACAGCCACCATGGTGGCCCTGGCGTCATGTGGGTCACAGTCACCATGGTGGCCCTGGCGTCATGTGGGCCACAGCCACCATGGTGGCCCTGGCGTCATGTGGGCCACAGTCACCATGGTGGCCCTGGCGTCATGTGGGTCACAGCCACCATGGTGGCCCTGGCGTCATGTGGGTCACAGTCACCATG